AGAAGATTCCTTTCCACAAGAGGTGGAAAGTACAAAGAAGGGACTGACCGTGCCGAAGTCAAGCCCACTGCACCAAGTCAACATAGTCATGGAAGACGGGCTGCTGAAGATCAATGGCCGCGCGAACTACGCGGACGTGCCGAGCGCTGTCAAACGACCTGTCATCCTGAGCGGGCGACATGAACTGGCGCAACTGATTGTCGATCGTGCTCACAAGCGCTTGTGAGCACAAGCGAGCTGGACACGCCAAAACGGAATGAGTCGTGAATGATATACGACAGCAATACTACGTGACAAGACTACGACCAACAGCGAAGGCAATTGCGACGGCCTGTCGAATGTGACGCCTGCGAAGAGCCAAGCCACTGAGCCCCCCTATCGGAAACCTGCCTAAGGACAGATTGCAAGCCTTCCAGCTGCCTTTTAGTTGCTGCGGGCTCGTGAGATTGTTGGGTTACGTGTATAGAGTATGCCTGATTTTCGTTTTTTATTTTTTTATTTGGTTATTTTTTTGTCATTTCTTCCTTATGAGTAATTATTCATTTTAAACACGTCTACATAGAAGTTGTAAAACAATTTAAAATAAGCACTCCTAAAAAAACGGAAACTTAATGAATGCCTCCAGTCGAGATCAGCGCCGGCTGGGGCGACGTCCGGTGGCCGCCTGAGTAGGTACCTACTACACGCACAGATGACTCGGCGCTTACCTACTCTCCGCTTTGATTCCACACTATTTAAAAACATTACAATAAAATAGTCTTAGATGCTATATTATAATTATTTATTCACTGATACACAATACCTTTGAATATTATTTCATAAAGCACAGGTAATTAATCAATAAAATAAATCTTCTGTTAGAGCAATTAAAAATCCTATAAAGTTAATATGACTGTCACGATTTTAAATCGGTAAAGCCTGTCTGTTAGTGTAAGAACTTCTTTTTTATTGTTAATGTAGGTTGCCTCGTTTAATTAAAACTTAACAACAAACGGCTTATTTAAAATTGGGAAAAATCATACAGAGCAAATCGGTATAACTTACGAGCTTAGTGAAGGAAGGACTCTTCGTGTCTGAATTTCCCACGTCATGAAATTCCGAACACATTTAATCACAGTCACACACACACATAATATGTTGTTTTGCGGCAAGCACGGGCGGGCGGCGCGCTGCACGCTGGCAAGAAACGTGCAGCGCTAGCGCCGGTTGCGGCGTCTTTGATGATGTGAATTCCGCCCACCTCCCCTCTTCCCCGCGTGCGGTGCTTTGCTTTGTTTGCATGCAAAGCGCAGTCGCAAGTATATCAATCGCGCGTGGGCGTGCGCATCTTTTGACTGACATACACTGTGATAATTTCATTATGCCTCGGTATACAAACCAAGAATATTTAGAGATGGTGTACTGCTATCGCGAGTGTGACGAAGTAGGTTTGGTTTACGAATGAGTCCCCAAACCATAGAAGTTGCATTTTGTGCAGTTAGTAGTGATAGGGACACTTTAAAAAAGGTGGAAAGACACGTCCGCAAATGTGCCTACCTTTGTTTGCAGCAAAATGGTGGTTTAGAGCAACAATTTTGCAGATAATAATTGTCTCTTTTTATTGCTAGTGTAAATACTTATTGATTTGAAACAACTAATTAGTGTACTAGCAGTGTAATTGATTTGATAAAAAGTTCTAGTGAAAAAAAGGAAAATGTTCCTCGTTCCTCGTTGTACCTACCTACATCGCCGGTCTCGTAAGTACTGTCTAATACTTAGTTATAAATTATTATTAACTTTTTAGGTATTTTTCTCTGCTAATGAGAAGATAACACTTGTTCTTTATATAAATAAATCTGTTATTGTAATATGGCATCTAAGGCCCGTATGAATATAACGCTCTCAACAACTCTGAGAGCGATCTTGAGATGCTGTTTTGTATGAACACAGTATCTCAAGGTCGTAGTCTCAGAATTGAGAGCGATCTATTCCGTATTAATTGCCTTTGACGATTTTACTGTACTGTACAGTAGATACGTGCCGCGTCAGCTGTGCGCGGTCGTTGCCCCCGGGGTCCGTCGGCCTCGCCTGGCCGTTTCCACTATTTTATTCGTTTATTTTAGTAGTGCTTATTAATTTGTTAAATTTCACATACTATGAATACGTGTTTAAAAATAATTATTACTCAAAAAGATGAAAGGACATAAATCTGCATAATTAAAAAAAAACGAAACGAAGTGAAATGTGTGAAATTTTTGCATCGTATTATGAATCCATCTACAGAAACCCTAGTCAAATAAATTTTGAATCAACTACTCGTTCTTTGCAATTTTTAATAAAATATGCCCAGATACTATCGTCTCCATTTCTCACCGAAGTATGGATATTAAAGAAACTCAAAAGCCCTCGATATCACAATAGGTTCAGGACCAGATGGTCTTCCTCCTGTTTTCATTGCAGGCTGTGCTAAAGAATTGCTTCCAGCAATCTATATACTTAATTTATAAGAAATCGTTGCAAACCGGTGTGTTTCCGGAGGCTTGGAAGTAGGCTAAGGTGGTGCCAATTCACAAAACTGATAGCGAGGATATGGTAGAAAACTATAGACCTATATTGATGTGATGATCACTTTTGTGCCCTTTTCTGAAAAATCATATGAACCTTTACCTGACTGACTCGCAGCATGGCTTTGTTTACGGTAGGTCCACTTCAACTAATCTTACTTTGTTTACTGAAAATGTGATCGTTAATCTTGACGCAGGCAGAGAAGTGGGCGTTATATATACAGACTTTAGCATTTGATAGCGTGTCTCATGGCCTTGTACATGTTAAATTAGAGGTATATGGAATGACGGGGTCTTTGCTTGAGTGGATTAAATCGTATTCAATGGTTTTCAATCTCGTGACCATACTATAACGTTCAGTGTATCCTGAAAAAGTTTTACTTTATCTTGTGAATCGCAACATGCAAGGAGTTTTAGATCATCGGCGTACATAAAAGGTTTTGAAAAATGAATAGTAGATTAAGTCGTTATTAAAAACATTAAAAAAGAGTGGTCCTATATGTGACAAGGCTCACATATAGGACCACTCCTTTTTAATGTGATGTGTGATGATCTAAAACTCCTTGCATGTTGCGATTCACAAGATAAAGTAAAACTTTTTCAGGATGCTATAGATAGGCTGGTAGCTTGGTGTCCTTTGAAAACAATATGAACATTAATGTACGAAAGTGCCATCATATTAAGTTCTCCAGAAAAAACTCTCCTATGCACTGAATATAATATAGACAATGTCCCCGTACTAAAAGTATATATGCCTTTAGGTCCTCAAAAAAAGATCAACCGGCAGGAACTCACCAGTGGCAAGGATATGTAGGCTTTTAAATGAGCATAGTCATTTGATCGACATTCACGCGGATTCAATTACCAAGCTCAAATCGCTATTGTTAGAGAGGTGGCTAGGTAAGTAGTAAGTAGAAGTTATTAATTTGTTTAAATTATATTTCGAATTATTTAATTTAGTTATTTTGTTTAAGCTTCACACTTTTTTTCTTGCGTGAGGTGTTTACCTGTAATTGTTTATTACACTTATTTATAAAGTTGTTAACAACTTTTTGTTTTTATTAGTGTAAATCAGTGTTGTTAAGTCAATAAATAATAATAATAATAAAAAGTTTCTTTATGGAAACTCCACCAGAAACCACCATTGTTTTGTAAATTTGATAGGGTAAACTTCTAGTCGTTGGACGCTATCAATCATTGGACAGAACACAATAAAACCGTAATATTAAGGTTGCTTTAAAAACGAGAACACTGTAACTGATATCTTACACAGCCTGAAAAGGATGCGAAACGTCATAAATAAATAAATCAGTGCATCTACATATTTAACTAGTAAAATAATAATAATTTTAGCAGACAGTTTTGTTCATGAACTATACAATGCCTCCATATGATCATTAAGTGTCCAATGACTGGAAGTTTACCCTATTATAATTTTATATTAAAATCTCAACGCTTCTCAAATTCTCACCCTCACTTCTCTTCGGAGTTCTTCTTCATTGTCGTTTCCTCATTGAGGGTCGTGACCTTTCAGGACAGCACATTTCACCAGCGATCTCCAGGCCGCTCTATGTGCTGCAAGGCGGATGGACGCCTGCAAGTTGCCATTCGTGTTTTCCTCAACTATGCCCAACCACCGGGATGGAGACCTGCCCCTACTCCTTGACCCGTGAGAAGCCGGGTAGATCCCTGGTTTTTTATATTTATTCTTTTAGAAGAGTTTCCGAAACGCAATTATTCTATGAACACAATACCGTCTTGCAATCATGATGTGGAGCATCTTCTCTCTTCTCACGGATAGTGACAGAAGGTCCCGCTAGGGATTATATAGAAGGCGAGCAACGCCTCTTTTCTTGAAGTCTCCTGGGTATGCGCTTAGCGGGTCTTCTTGTTGGTGATTATTTGTCCCGACCACCCCCGACGGTCGCTGCGATTTGGATAGAATACCAATGCCTACTCTTCAGAGAAATATGCTTTCTGTTGAGAGTGCGGGGAAGTGTACCGATAAGTTTCTATAACACCATTTTCCGTCAAGCTTTTAATAGATATCTTTTTAATTTATCCGTTGAAGAGGTATCGTTTTCTTGTATTGAGACTTCATCCTACTAATATTATAAATGTGAAAGTTTGTATGTTTGTTACTCAATCACGCAAACACTACTGAGTGGATTTGGATGAAATTTGGTACGCATATAGTTTATGATTTGGATTGAGACATAGGATACTTTTTATCCTGCAAAAATGTTAGTTTCCTGAGAGATTTTCAAAAAACTAAAGTTAACGCGGACGAAGTCCTGTGCGGCTGCTAGTATGATAAATATTTCTTCTGTCCGTGTGTTTTTTGTGTTACCTAATAGAACTGAAAAATGTCTTAGAGTGCGGTTCTTACTGTTACGTACTGGTACGTAAGGTTTAAGGTTGTGTTAAACAGAATCACACAAATTAAAAGAAATGAAATAATTATTAATATAAATTTATTTTAAATAAGTAACATTGCTATCAGCTCATACACAGATGGAGCTAGCTACAATATTTTTCTTCAAACCTATCTCAACATAAATTTCCTTAAAAATAACTATCTACAAAATTATTGATAGGTAGCAATTTATCAAAATCACATTTCAATAAAAAACAATACCATTCTTTACATAATAAAATTATGTTATAACGAGAATATCAAAACAAAGCTCCAGGCCTTGATTCACTTTGTGAATTATAATAATACCATAACCTATTATACTGATGGGTGATATGTGTGTGTGTGTGTGTGTGTGCTGAATTATATCAATACATATTCCCTTTTTGAAATAAATAGAACTTATTTCTATTACCACCATTTTTAATATGTTGAATATTTGGCTGCAGAGTCATGGAATGTAACATTTTCCATTTTTAGTAGAAAGAACTTTTTTATCAGATCAAAGTAGAAAGTTGAATATAAATTGTTTTTAGAACATAAGTACAATATTGTACCCATCGAACTTGAACCCTATTTTTAACGGGTAACCTACTATCTACAACATGTCTACAACAAAAGTATCTACATATAGGTATTATGTAGTAGTTTCGCAAAAATTGTCTTTAGAATCTATCTACCTTTTTACTCTGAATAGAGATAGGGCTGTTAAATAAAATGAAATAAAATTGAGCAACGATATTGAAATAATACGAACAGTTACTAAAGAAAAAAACAGCCAAAATCCAAATCTGCGCTATGGGTAAGCTATGAGTTCGCTAGGTAGGTACAATGCGTAGACATTCCATAAGAAATATTTTGTACTTACTTTTCTTTAAATATTTTATAACAATATAAGGATCATAAGATGTTAACACGTATGTAACATACTTATTGAAATAATGATTCGCGGAAATAAATAAAAAGTATCTAAATTACTATATTATTTATAACTATACTTAAAACATAATATTTTGGTACACGTAAACCAAAAGGAGCATGCTACAAATTTTTCATTTAAAGTACTTAAAATAAAATGCACCTATTTTATCATCTAGGAACTATGTTGGGTGTGTGACGTAAATACCATGTATTCGTATTTATGTATTTTAATGGTGTGCATACATTTATATAACAGTAATTGAAAAAATAATAATTATAAACTTCATTGTTTTGTAATGTAAATGGATTTTCCATAAATGAACATTTAAGATATTTCAATTGAATTCCAATAACGATGATGGATATAAGATTAAGTAAAATCGAGAAATGCAGCGGTCTGCCACTTTTGGTGATATCGTTCCGAGTTTAATCTTGGCAAGGCAAGAAACTGGGCTCTCCTATTAAAAATATTAACACAAAGAGGTGCAGCTCGTCGTATTGACCTTGTTTTTAAATGCATTTAGGACTAAAATAAAGGTTAATATATTATGAATGACGATCTTTGGCCCGCATATAGTTTTTTTTTGTAGAAGGCCCTCCGGAAACTATCGAGCGATAGCTTAGTTCATGTACACATTTTATCATCTAAAACATACATCACCAACTTTTTCGATTTTACATACTTACATAATGTATGAATGTAGGTACATTGCTGCCAGTGCAGCTGTTTTAAGATATTAAAATGATAACATGGGTGAAAACTAGAATGGCAACGAAAACATTGTTTTTCATAGTTAATAGTCCTAATTTCTATCACAGTAAAATATCAAAACACCTAATAAGTACCTTAATCTTTAAACAATTCAGATGTCTCCAAAATAAGTATTTTTTAGTTCAATATCTAAATTTCCGTTAAAGTTTGAGTCATGAAGTAATAGTTTAAGTAAAGAAAAAAAGATTCACTAAATCAAACGAATATCTTTACATTGATTTGGTATTGAGGTATTCAAGTACCTTTAAATATAGTTTGTGATCGTAAAATGGAATGATCAAAAATGACACTACATTTGTGGGGTAAACAAATCACGCACAAAGATAAATATATTTTAAAAGCTGTATAAGTACACTCATCAAGTTGAAATTAACAGTAAAGACTCCATAATAAGTTATTTATTAACTTTATAAGATCTTAGAAACATAGATATTTATTTATTTCTCTAAGAAATAAGAGTATATATAACTATAATTGTCGGGTCTATTCACAGTCTCATACAGAGCCTGCGTGTTTTGTATTTCTCTAATATTTTTCGGTAGTAGCTAAAATTATGATAACATAGCTATGTAACTTAAATAAGCTATCTCTCCGTTAAACTTCTAGACCACTTATTGCTAAAATAATGTTAGTCATTGAATATCTGGAACTATTGAACAAATCTTTGCTAAGATAGGCACTGTTATGTTATGACAAATGCATGGGCAGGGACGGCTATTTCTTTAATGAAATTATACACAATAGGTTTTTATTTTATTTAGAGGTATTCTGTACTGTATTGTAAGTTCTCTGCCAAAATCAGTCTTTAAGTAGAACGAGAGTCCGATAGCTATAAATCAAGAACAATAATTAAGTAGCCAGTTTCATAAAATCTCCGATATCTGACTAGAGCAATAATAAAATATATAAGTACATTAATATATTGCTACAGATTTAGGCGTCCGTCGAATGTGCCTATCTCAGACCATTTACTTTTTTTTTCAATTAAAGCGTAACATAAACTTTGCAATATGTACATCGAGAGAAAGTGCTAGGTTTTCTGAAAACCGGATGATTTTTCCTTATGATAAAATTTGTCTACACATTCGAACAGGAAAAAGCTTTCAAACGATATTTAATAAATATCTTTCACATGGTTTAGTTAACTTTTTGACTATTGAGTCGAATTACACAATTTGATATACATACTTAAAAGCAACCTATTTAAGCATTTAAAGCATCACACTTTGCAAACAAACATTATGGCAACTTTCGAACGTCAACGTTGCAGCTACCAGTGTTGCTCAATAAGTACTTGGTACTTGTATGGTGAGGGAGGATAAGTAAGCGGAGAGACGCACAACAGACCCGTAGCTCGCCTACTGGAGACCACTAAGGTTCGAAGGAGATCGCTGAACATGAATGCGACTTACGCCGTCGCGAGCTGCTGGCGGCACGCGACCGCCGCTACTAGAGCCGCGCCGCGACCGCTGCCGTCCTCAGATAACATCAAGTCGAACTAAAACAAAAAACAGCCCTTTGTTACTTCTGTGCCTCTCATATGACGACCTCCGTGGCCGAGTGGTTTGTGTGCCGGGTTTCATGGTGTCGCCTTCTGGAGAGGTCCCGGATTCGAATCCCGGTGGGGGCAGATGTTTGTGTGATGAATACGAGTTCTCCAGTCATGGATGTTAAATATGTATTTCTATATAAATATACTTATATATGTACAGTATATGTATTCTATCCGTTACCCTAGTAGCCCATAACACAAGCCTTACAGTGCTTACTTTGGGGCAAGGCTAATTGCTGTGAGTGTTGGAAATATTTATTTATTTATATTCAACTGGCTAACTTTCGTCTCGAAGGTAATCTGAATAAAAGCTTACCAGATCAGTGGGCAATGGTTCTAAAATAGCAACAATTGTACTTACTATAAAACATGAGTGGCTCAGGTTATCCATAGTTTAGCTCAATTTTACGGGGGTGTATACCAACGTGTTGTTTTTACAGAATCTTATACTCTTTATTGCATCATATAGTTTAAAACATATAGTCAAATACATAGTAAGCAAAGTGGGCTTATCTCTAAAAGAGATCTCTTCCAGCCAACCTAGGTGGTGTCGGAGATTCAAACCTTAGCGGGAAACAGAAAGTGCAATAAAAATTAAACTAAAAATAATTTATTACTACTGTTATAGGAAATAGACTTAATAAATAATAGTTGTATATATATATATATATATATATATATATACTGACATATATATATGTGTAATGTGTATAGTATACATATACCTACATCAATAAACTTACCGACATTTTTGTCAGTTGTGAATCGATTTTCATGACGCAAGTACTTGCGACCGGACTTTTATATGCTTCGTGGTTCCAAGTACTTGCGTACAGGAAACCTATAAAGGGTCCGAAAATTCTAAGAAAATATAATAAAGTAGCCCTCTGGCTCTGGCGCTTGAGGGAGAACTGTTGTACCGGTCCAAAAATAGTTTTATTATTGAAAGTTTATCCTCGTGATGTAGATTATTTTATTATTATATAGTATCCTATATTTTCTGGAAAAAACGAGGGAATATACAATTATATAATAATGTGTGGTCTTATACGGCCATTATACTAAAATTACCATTTTGATATTGGAATGGTCATACTTTAACTTAATAAAAATGTACCTAAATATATTTTTATTTATATAACTCAGTTATCCTGATCTCAATTTTAAATTGATTTATTAATAATACATAAACATTTTACAACCTATTTAATAATAATAAGAAAAGGCGTGTCTTTACTGATACGTCATATGATAATAAATAATAAACGGGCGAATAAAGATTAAACAAATGTTGTGCAAAGTTCAACGGCTATCCGATATTCATTAAATACACAAACAAGTTTATCTCAATGACCAACTCAAGTCTAGGGGCTCGTCTTTTATATCATTATCTTAATGTAAATAAGGATATTATATACTAAACGAACGTTTTGTTTGGTTCTTCAAATGGGTGGCGGCCAAAAATCTTTGAACTTTGATAATAATTAGTTTGAGGTCACTTTATTGTTTACATTCAAATAGTACAAGTGAGTAGGTATTCACCAAATTAACGGGAAAATCCTACATAGTTTATATTCCATGTTTTTTTTATATCATCACTATTTACTTCTTTTAGAAACCGGGTCTATTAATCCCAACTAATACGTAAGTACCACTAAAGCCTAAGTCAGAATCCCTGAAAAAGTTCAGTATTACCTAAAAAAAACGCAACTAACCTCGGGAATAGCGAAACTCGCAGACGTGACAAATAGAAAGCTGTTTTTGCAATTTGAAATATTAAATGATCCAATGTACTTATACCTTAACGAATTGTGATTTATCAAAATGAAGATGATGGATGTGTTATCATAATTTCGCCTTTTATCTTAACACTTTTTCATGAAAGTAACATCTTAAACTAAAAACAAATAAGGACTCGGTAGTTAGTTGGAACTCATATTTTTTCCCCGAGACGTAAGTATTTACGTCTGATTTACGTCAACCGATTGGCGTCACCGTTTTAGATATCTTTAATCTATACTTATAATAAATCTGTAGAGATGTCAATTCAGTACATGAAATATATTTTTAAAATAACTATCAGGGGGTGATTAGTGATCGATACTGATGCCAAAAATGCAACCAGTAAAATTTTTGTCTGTCTGTCTGTCTGTCTGTCTGTGTGTATGTTCCTTATAGAAACAAAAACTACTCAACGGATTTTAACGAAACTTAGTACAATTATTCTTCATACTCCTGGGCAGGTTATAGTACACTTTTCATCACGCTACAATCAATAGCAGCAGAGTAGTGAAGGGAAATGTTGGGAAAACGGGAGAAGTTACTCCATTTTTTAAGCTTCCGTCGCGGGTGCAGCCTTAATGGTTAAAGTTACATAGAAATCATGTATGACGGAAATATTCTACATGAAATTGTCTAAAAAATATCCCACAACAGCATGTCTATCTTTTATGGTTGACTCACAATAACACGTGTAATTATATAAATAAAGTCATTCTTTATAGCACAAGCCTGAGAACAAAAACTATAGTTTACACTACAGCTCTACACCGAAGCGAAGCGAGGGCGGGCCACTAGTACTGAATAAATGTATAAAGTGACGGATGATTAATTAGGTTACATTGCAGTCATTTATCAATGTGAAGCTTGCGATGTTTATTGTTTAGAATATTATAATTGATTGGTCTGCCTGCCGCTATTCGAACTGATAAAATATTGCGGAGGTAAAATTTTCGTACTTGTATAAGTTATTTATTTACTTATATGTGTTCTATGTTTTTTAAGTACGGTAATTATAAATTATAAGCCTTGTTATCTACTTTTTCATATCACATTATTTTTCTCATATTATTTCCGGAGGAAAATCTATATCTTCGTGCCTTAGTGTTTTTTGAAAACAATTCAAATATATACTTACATAATTCTTTTGAGGCACTTATAGACAAGCTACAGTGATTGCCTCTGATGTTAGAAATGAGAGTTTCCGTATTATCATAACGGGTAAAGTATTCTAAATTTGATATTACATGGTAACAATCTAAGCGGGAGTAAGCATTATTTTAAGTATGTATTTAAGAAGATTCTACGATAATGTTATGTGTCTTCGTAATCTTTAGACAGTTTTTTTTGTACTTCAAAAGATTTTATGTTATGTTTAAGAAATCTGTGGCTTTGTGTCATGCATGTAATATGTAAGTATTATAAATGCGAAAGGTGTCTGCCTGTTATTTCTTCACCTTTAAACTGCTGAACCGATTTAGATAAAATTTGGTATTGTATAGATATTTTGAGCCCCGGAAGGACATATCTTGCTTCAAGTGAGTGAAAAGGGGGGCGAAATATTGTATGAGTATGAGGTATATGCACCTGTATCTGTCGATGCCGACGGTGACGCGCGGCTCGTTCATCTTGTTGAGCAGCGTGGCGATGCCAGCCGACACCACCCGCTAGTGTGATATATAAGGTTTATGCACCTGTATGCCGGGCCGAACCAGTTGCGCGATCTTTTCGGACATGAGCGCGTGGAAGTGCGGGTGGAACCGGTAGGCTGAGCCGTCGATGCCGACGGTGACGCGCGGCTCGTTTATCTTGTTGAGCAGCGTGTCGATGCCGGCCGACACCACCTGCTAGTGTGATATATGAGGTATATGCTTTTCGCACATGAGCGCGTGAAAGTGCGGGTGGAACCGGTAGACGGAGCCGTCGATACCGACGGTGACGCGCGGCTCGTTCATCTTGTTGAGCAGCGTGGCGATGCCGGCCGACACCACCTGCTAGTGTGATATATGAGGTATATGCACCTGTATGCCAGGCCGGACTAGCTGCGCGATCTTTTCGTACATGAGCGCGTGGAAGTGCGGCTGGAACCGGTAGACGGAGCCGTCGATGCCGACGGTGACGCGCGGCTCGTTCATCTTGTTGAGCAGCGTGGCGATGCCGGCCGACACCACCTGCTAGTGTGATATATGAGGTATATGCACCTGTATGCCAGGCCGGACCAGCTGCGCGATCTTTTCGCACATGAGCGCGTGGAAGTGCGGGTGGAATCGGTAGACGGAGCCGTCGATACCGACGGTGACGCGCGGCTCGTTCATCTTGTTGAGTAGCGTGGCGATGCCGGCCGACACGAGGTGTGCGGCGCGCCGGCTGATGCATTCGCACACGTGCCGCACGCCCGCCATGTCCGCCTCCGTGGCGTGTGACAAGCCTAAGGACAACATTTAACTGTGATCATACTGATTATCATTACATAAAGAAACGAGCAAGCCTTAAAGTAGTCGCGTATGATGTGTAACATTTGAAACCTCACCTTATATTAGTAAAAAAAGAAAAAAAAACCTACTAAGTACAAAAGGTATAAGCCATTTAACCATCATGTTTTAAATCAAATCAAATAGCGCGCGCTTTCTCGACTTTCTGTTACATACTACTGTCCCATTTTGCGAAATCACTCCCACAAATTGCAGGAAAGCGAGAGGAAAGATGTTACACATCAATAAATTGTGATCCACATATCGCTTCGCTTCAGTGAAGACTCTAGTTTTATATTAAACCTTCCTCTGAGGCTATCTATTGCCGAAAATTACATTGAAATCCGTTGCGTATTTTTGAAACGCCTAAGCGTACAGACAGCTGGAGCTACTTTGTTCTATGGTGCTGCTGACAATTCGGCTATAATATATTCGGACTTCAGATTCTCGAATGAAAATTTTGAAAACAAGAAAGAATACAAGATTTTGACGTTATATTGTGGTTTTGTTAAGCTTACATTTAATTTTGTAGATTATTATATTTTTATTTTTCAAGCATTTAAGCTAGATGTTTTTTTTATCACATTAAATTTGTCATTATGTAAAATGCTGTATAGTATGTTGTTACTTAATCACGGATGTGGCACCAACGATATTTTGTGTGGCACACATTGTTTATTGTGCAAGTCATACTATAATCTATGTTGGGTGAAATAAATAAATTTATTATTATTATTATTACCTGGATTGGGACATGCTTTTTATCACGGGAAATTGTTAGGTTTCTGAGGGATTCTCAATAAACTAAACTAAGCGCGGATGAAGTCGCGGGCGGCCGCTACTGATCTATAAATTTATCTAATAAAAATAATGATATTTTTTATAAAAGAAAGAAAGAAAAACGTTTTATTGGCCTTCATAGCATTAATTTAGAAGAACAAAATGGCTATATAACAGTCAAAACATAGACAATAATAATAAAGAAAAAAAAAACTAGGTTCGTGCCGTGTAAGGCCAATAGGGCGCTGCCTCAGATATGCTCTGTGGTAAACGATTTCGGGCTACCACAGCAACGCTGATTTTCAGATTCTATGATTATGAACATCATAAATATGCCGGTGGCGTTTGAAAACTATGAGTCATTATGATAACAATTATTATGATTAATGTTTTAAGTAGCTCTGTGTAGCTCCGTGTGTGTTTATATGTGTAATTTTCAATGTATCACGCTTTATTATATTATTTTCCTGGTAGCATGACAAATTCGTTACCTTTGTACCTACTGAAGGTGTGTCTCTAACTACCTATGTTTTATAATCTGTATGTAAACAAGGGTAAAGTTGCTCTACAACTAGATAAGTAATTATCGTAGAATTTTAAGAACTTACATTTGAGGAGCTGGCAAAACCGTATAATTACATAAAATTAAATTTTACAGGAGCTGTGTAAAACTGAATGACATACCTACAGTGAGCTTTTGGCATGGTTTTAATTTATAAATTTATTAATTTTAACACTGTTTTAGGCGGTTTTGATTGAAAATTATTTGAGATTCAAATTCAACGGGCCCGAAACTTCCAGACTAAAAAAAAGTAGTTGGAATAGATGCATTATTATACCGTTTTGTTCGCCAACTCCTCATTTTATATATCGCTCTCGGTGTCGAGAATGTATATATTCTCTATATTTGCTTTTTTAAACCTCCTTGTTATTAATTTACACGTTAAGGGCGGGACGAGGTGGAGATGTATATCTCCACTAATACAATTCAACCATTTAAACATAAATATCCGGTATATTGATAACGAGGATCCGGCTCTTTATGTTAGGGTCAAAAGCTCATTTGTCTGTTACTTGACGTCAACAGTATTTACATAGTGTTACATGTTATACAGCTCATGACGTCTGTGTGAATACAAGAAAAATATTTGCGAATGTTACACTACGTAATTTTTTATTCAGTAAATAATTAGTTTCGACGACTTATTGTCTAAATCTTAAAATAACTTACTTCTATCAATGATCATAGCTGGTAAATTCATACAATATTCATAAGACAAGTCTTTCATCGACTGGGAGAAATAATAAAGTATGTATTTTAAAGTATCGTTGCCTCTCAACCAAATTTTAATCGTATCATGTCAATGTCTAAAATATATTTTAGAGAAATTCGTTATTTAAGAGAAGATGGAGGTGTAGCATACTGAAATATTATTTGTATACTTTGCTAAGAAGCATACTAAAATAATAGTTATTATAATGTCATAAGTCTACGTTTAGCCTAAGTTAGTCCCTATTGCATTAAATGCCATATTGAATCCATTTTGCAAGTAAAAAGTGACAGTTGATCTGCCGTAAGTTCCTTTTTTAGCCATGGTGCGCGCTGCGATCGATTCGTGGTTCCCCACCTCTTTCGCAGCCAGCGAATTTCTCAAATAATGCACAGATATATTAAAACCACATGAGTAAAGCAACTTACAGTCCGATTAAAACTTAGTAGTTAGTACCTAGGCAGAATCTGTTATTTGAAATAGTAAATTCCCGCGTTGAAGTGTTCATTTGTTTTTTTTTCAATGAACGTCTTTTTTATTTGCAAGTCAGTTCGAAATTGCCATGTTTCGGAGTAAAAGATCGTTACATTTTTAAAATTAGTTTACTATGTAATTTATTTGGCCACTTAAACACGACAGGTATGGATTTTTATATAACTAACCGGCCGCTGTTCGCATTTATTTGGCCAGCAGGCACAGCAATTTCCTTTTAATCTCAAAAAAAGTTTTCATAATAATACCTTCGCAAGTTTTCAGGTCTGTTTGAGAAAATTGTATTACGTAGTACTTACTAATTTGATTTCGTAATCTGCAATTTATAAAACTGCCATAACATATTTATATACGTAGATAACAGTATCTGAAGGTTTTATATGTAAGTATTAGCATTTCCCCGTGTATGACAAGTAATTAATCAACATGCATTAAATACATTTTTTTATCTGAAGATTTTTTTAATTTATCACAGGTAGGATTGAGGTACATACGTACTATTTTAACAGTGGAACTTGGATTTACCATACCTACTTAATACAAATTACGTAATACATATATTAAAAACTCTGTCTTATGAACATTAATCCTTAATCCCAATAAAATATAGGTACCTACTCGATAAGAGTGATAACCTTTCCACAGTTAAAGTGAAGAAATTTCATTTAAACCTTTCTTCAATATATTAAACGTATTTTTATTTTATAGAAATATTATAAACAACAAGATATTTAACTGGACTCACCAAGTTCTTCTAGGACTTCCATGCAGCTTGTGAAGTCGCCAGGCTTGTCTGACTCAATCTCAGATACGTATTTAGTGTAGAAGCTGCCTCTTTTGAATAACAGATCCGAGCCCCGCCCACCGAATAGCAAGCCCATTTTCGTGAATTTAACTAAAGCCAGACGCACTAGTTCTCCCATGTACATTCCGGAAATCATCTTCTCTTGACTATAAACAAATAAAATCGGTTCGTAAGTGACGACGACGACAGCTTTTTACAACAATACCCAAAAAATGGTATAATGCTTCCAAGGTTTAATGTATGTATGTATGTGCGTTTCTTTATTCCACTTATCCAATATAACTTCCACTTCATTTTCATTTTTAAGCATGGCAACGTGCTTCGTTTATTGTTTTTTTTATTATCAATATAAGTAAACTTGAATTTTACCTCGACTGGAATTCATTAATAATTAATTAGTCGATGACAGTCAGTAGTGACCTAACACTACAGTCAGAGACTAACGAAAGTGTTATTAAATTAAAAAGTGTTCTTTGCCAATTATTTTTGTAATTATCAATAATAATAGGAACTGAAGGACTTATTCATAAAATTATATCATCACTGATTAAGTTATAATGATAATTTTCAATTACCTAAATAGTTGCACAAACATGTATTCAGAAAATAGGCTAGTTGACTCATGTCGAATTGTATTAAATAAATGTTTATTTCTTAAAGTATTTGGTCTAAGGAACCTAAATATATCGATTTCACTTCATAAAAGCAGAAGATTGCTGTAGAAAATTAATTTTAAAAAATATTTTTTAGTCTATATTTTTTAAACACTAAAAACGCTGTTCGCCACATCCGCCATGATTGTGACGTCTCTTATGGTAAACAACTAAATGTCATTCGCGTGTTACTGTGGGTGGATTCTTTCGTCTGACTAAATTTATCTTAAAACACTTTTAACTTTAGAAAAGTTTCCGTTTACTGTTTTTTTTTGAAAAAACTAATTATGGATGCCGGCTTTGTGAAAACAGAAAGCACAAATCTGCCAAGAATTGACGCATTGATGGTTGGTGAATTTATTGCACTAAACCCCGATTTCTGCTCTGCGGAGCAGAGAAACGACAAGGCATCTATGTAAGTACAGTGTATTTAGTATTACAATGTAGTAATAAACATATAACTGATACAACATATGAATAAGTTTAATAAAGTTGCGTAGGTTAATTTCTTTCGGCACTTTAATCCACAACTTTCCTGGAGTCTTCAAGGATGTGTTTTTATATTCTCGTACAATACAATAATTACTTTATTTTTCGTGGTATTTATTAGAAATCAATTTTGTTTTTAGTATAAAGTCAGTTAAGTTATTTTCTACGTGCATAAGAGTTTTTGTTTACTGCAGTTAACGTCAAAGCATAGATAATCTATAGACTAAAATGGCCGACAGCGTTTTTGTATGTCCATGAAAAATCTATTTTAAAATTAAAGATTTGTAGCTTTTTACGTCTCAAAAAAATACAATACATTTTTTTTCGGTCTAATAGAACATTTATTAACCATTTAAAACCTTTTTCCAAAAAGGGTCAACTAGCCTATTGCATCATCTGATTCACTACTTACTTACTTTGATATTAAAATATATATACAGGGCATCCTTAATAAAATGATCAAATCTTAAATATTTAATATACTTTCCCTCCGTGTGACAAACCCGCGGGACGCCCTGTATACTTTTATAACTTAGTTATTACTAAAAACTCTGCTTGCAAATTTGAGATAAAATATCGATTCAGTCCGAACCTCACGTGGTGACAAGCAGATTTAATGAGCAACATGGTAATTAACATGGTAATTTTGGAAGCTATTTTAAGATATGAACTGGCAACGTGTCACTATTTGATCCAGTTTTTTTTACTTTTACAAATGTCACTAACCTCACAAGGAATATATTTACGTGCGTGTTAAGTTTCATAAAGAGTCAAATTAGTTTGTTATAAAAAATCACCATTTAGGTAAGTAGGTATGTGTTTTTAATTGGTAAAACTGGACTTTCTTGGCCCAGAAGGTATCATTTCACATTTTTTTGTTCAAAAGATCTATTAACGGAGTATTTTTCAGTAATAGTCACAATACTAAGCTAACACTAGGTTAGTGTGAAGTGTCAACTCATGGAATCAGAAAGTACAGTGCAGTCTCTTAATTCCTTACATTTGTTTTCCAGGGTTGATGGAGTTGTTGTCGACTTCGCGGTCGAATTCCGTGCGAACAAAGTCCAGAGTACCGTCGTCCCCGAATGCACCCCATTCAGTGTTGATCAGTAGATCAGGCTTGCCTGGTTCTCCATCAAACAACTCACAGTTCTCTGTTTTCTCCACATAGCACGCGTTGCTTCCAGTACCTGTGATACAGACGTCAGTCAAGGAAAACTGCAAAAGTCTTTTACCGCAAAAAAATAATGACGCAACTCATATCAGACGTGAATAATCCATAAAAGAACATTTCCTCATGTATACCATGTATGACTATTACCACAGTATAAAACAGTTGAAATAAGTTTAAATATCTTTTTATTATGCAGAGCAGATAATGGTGTCGATTCTGGCGTGATTCTCTAAACTTAAAACTAATTTTAACATCAGTCTCTCCTTTTTATTCTGTATAGAGAATGACAAGGATACACTGTTGTCAAATTTAAGTTTAGGTTTAGAGAATTGCTATGACGTCATGCCATACATCTCGCGATATTTATAACATACCCAATTATCATTTTGTGTGACTCTTAATTGAATTTTTAATTACTAAGTATAATTTTTATCTGAATCTGATCTGATAAAAAATATATGTTGTAGACGAAACAATTGTTTTAAAAGTTGTTAATGACTGTTAGTGCGGTTATTAGTTAGTAAGTTGGCAAATGGAAAAGATAATTAAACTACATCCGCATTAGTTAGTTTTTGACATGGTTTGTTAATTTTTTAAAATTTACGTATCATGCTCATATGCAATATCAATGGAGCTGTGAGTAATTGAGAAAAAAATACATGATCATTTTTCAACGCTTAAAATAGATAGGTACAAAAACAAATTCAACAACATCCACTCAACAATACAAAAACAGTCATCTAACTGTCATTGATTGTTAGTTATGGAAGTCATGATTCATGCAAGGTAAGGAAGGTTAATAGAATTAATGCCGGGGGTTTCCTTTGAATGAGATGCGGTCTCAACACATGAGTGAATATGTGTTATTTTACGTGCATGCAATGTTCGATGGTTTATGTGGTAACTGGAGCGATATAATTCAAGAAGCAAAAACATATAGTGACGAATAAAATAAAAACCTGACTAAATTCAAAGCAACACACCACCACATGGCAAATAACATTATAAACCTACCAACAATAAGTCCTATTTTGCAGTTGTGGTTTTTCCACGCGCAAGACATCAATGTGCCCGTAGTGTCATTCAATATGGCACATATGTCAATCTGAACGTCCTACAAGAATGAGAGAAACATGCGGATTAGAAGAAAGATTTCATTCCAGTCCAGATTGGTTATGAGAGACATAAAGATTTCTGCGAAGTGTTGAAGATGATTCCAGAGGCTCTCAAATTATAGATATATCAACTCAGTCAAATATTATGTTCAATCTATTGTTTGTTAATATTAAACTTAATTTATTATAATTATTGTGCATTCATAAGTTGCAACGATGTACTAACTAGTAATTCATTACATTTGTAACGCAAATAAATTAACAACTGCCAATTTCAAAGAAGTGTTTAAGTCTATAGACTAGCAGACGTTTTGGACTCGGAATGCCATAAGAACTTAGTTAAAACCGTATTATCACTATAGATTATACCTTGTTAAAAATTCATGCCGATCGATAACAATAGAAGAACTGAGCCGTCGAATGAACGAATGTTTTTCGAAATAATGATTCAGTTCAATGGAAATGTTCTTCTGGCAATACTTTAATTTCGAAAAAAAAAACGTATAAGAAGCTTTTCTACCAAGCATCTCTAACCGAAATCTGATTCAGTGAGAGCTAAATAAATCAAAGGTGTTTTGGGCATTATAGAACATTCCAATAAATTAAACATCTTTATCTGTGTAATAGAATAGATGAATGAAAGTATCGGAAAACAAAAAAGAAGTTTGTGAGTGAATAAAATAATATGATTTTTCAGTTGCATGATGTACGAAATAAATTAAAAATGTGTTCTAAAGGTTCATGCTTGCATTGCTCTATTGAACACAATAAGCACTGAGTTGGTTCAATGTCATCTTGAAAGCCTCTATAGCTCTCGTTTTAACTTCTTAACATCATGCTTTATTCTTCTAGATTGAGAGGGAGAGAGAGCTGTTATCATCATCAACTCACCAATAATAATCCCTATCTTGCAAGTAGGTTCCTTGTGTGCACAAGACATAAGTGTACCAGTTGCATCATTTAAGATACCCATCACTGACAAGGCAAGATCCTGGAAAATTTCTGTACATTGTAATAACCTGTTGTTATGTTACCGACAATAATTTTATAGAAATCAATGCAGACCTTCACGAATAAAGTTTGTTTTTTTTCAACTGGAGGACCTTTTAGTAGTTGTCGATCATGTCTTATTTCCATGTCCTTTTTTGAGATAACTTACTTATCTAAATTGGCTTTCTGTTGTGCTTACTTCTAGAGCGGATTTTTCCGAAAATGGAACTGTATACCTATGCTAAAGTTTTATTTCTAAAGTAAGTTTAAGAATAATATTACAAAAATATCTCACCCCTCTTCTTGCAATAGCATCTTTAAGACCTTGTACAACATCTTCGCCGACCACTCCGCTACAAGAGAATCCCTTGGTCCAACGTTGTAAGATGCCTTTGGTGAGACCCAGTTGTTTCAGAGGGAAACTAAATGTGAAACCAAGAGCTAAACGTTCCTCGTATACATGGTGTTCCTATACAAAAAAAATCTCATTTAATTATAAACGCCCATGTTTTCCATAAAAAATATAACTATCTGTTTTGATTTTTTTCATATTTACCTTCATAAAATAAGCTAAACATTCCGCGATATGATCAAACAAAGCGACACCTGTACCAGTCATAATATGATTTGGTATAGCATATATTTTTGATTGCATATCAAAATGGTTTTCTCCGAGGTTTATAATTAATACACGGAAATTTGTGCCACCTAAATCCAAAGCTAAAAATTTACCGCGTTCTGAAAACGAATTAAGTCTTTCATAAAAATATGAACTAGTGTTTTTCTGCAAAAAACATTAATGAGGATTAACAATAGAATTTCAATCACACCTTTCCCATTTGGTAAATCTTGAATATAAGTGAGCCAGCACTTGACAATAGAATTGGCGTGTGTGTCTTTGCCAAGACCCTTCACAAGGTCATTGTGAAGTCTGTTCATTATCTCTCTGAGCTGCTTGTCTGTCAGGTGCAGCATCTCGCATTCCTCGCGGATCTGAAAATGAAAACATAACCCGTAAACAATTGGCTACACTCACAAAAAAAACGCTCTCATACTTTATATTCATTTTCATTTTGACGTCGTCGAAGAGACGTAACACGGACTATTTTTAGATAATTATTCAGATACATAAATAAGTGGATCACGGGAGGCAAAAAATAAATAAATCTGGAGCTTACATTATTTTTAATTACGATAAATAGAAACGATTAAATAAAAGTTCTACATGTTAAGTTAATGGTAAAATATAAGAGCGAAAAGAGCGTTAAAACTTTATTATGATTATTTGTTTTTATATTTTTCCTAAGGAATATAATAGTAGTAGGTAGCTTTTTAATAGTTTCTGCTCTTGAATTAAATTTTTGAATATGGCCATAAATCCATCCATGACTGTCATCAGTCATGGAACTTAACTTGAAACTTTATTCTTTTGGACCTAGAAGAAACAAATGCAATTTCCCTGGACGCACACACTGTTTAACGAGCGATTGTAAGCCAGCCGTTGATTATCGCGAACGAGTTTCGCAAGGTCAAAGCGGTCATTACAACACTACCGTTGCTTTCCAATACAATATTTAATACCGGCTTTGTATAATATTTTATAAAATGACTACTTCCGTAAATAATATTTACTCACCAAGGGTAAATTATTGATAGACATGCCCATTTTTCTGATTTATTTGAAGCACAAATTGTATCACAGTTTTGAATTCAACGTAACAACTCACTGCGCGAGTTAAAATTACAACACGTCTTGCCAAACTCGCAAGTTAATGAGGAATACGGCCAGTCGGCCGCAACAGTTGAAGTCGCTCTATACAAACCCGCTCTTTTCATTCATAATACTAGCGCAGTTGTTATCTCTTTTGTATGATTCACTTTTCAATGTAACAGAAGAGTACGACTATATTGAACGCACAGATGCTCATGATTCACGATAATTTAGAGATTTACAAGGATAGCTCATTTTTTCGCGAAAATTTCATTGTGCTAATGATCGTCGTGATCGTTTTAATGATTTTACTTCGATCATGGGTCTGGAAAGGTTGTTTTATTTTGTAAAAAATGTGTTTTAGAGGTACAGTTGTTTACCCTCGACACTTTATGTTGATTTCTGATTGGTTAACTCGTGGGCTCGTTCGTGACGTCAGCACACATTCCTTGATTTCTGTATTTATTATTGCATCAGTAGTGGTAACTGTGTATGTGTGTTGAGTGGGTGTGTTAACTCGATCGCGTATGCCATAGGCATAGACGAACATGCAACCACATAATCTCTATACAATTGTTTTATCAGTTCATAAGCTACAGACGATTAATCGATTTATAAAATAAGTGTGAATATAAAAATATATAATGCTTTTACTGCAATAAAAAAAATAAGCACTCACATTACCTAGGTATTTTACTGTAGTAGTTGTAAATAATTTTTTAAATCGAAAAGAAACAAAGAACACAGACCAAGCTATAGAAATTGAGAAATATTATTTATTGGCATTTTCTTTAAAAAAAATACTTATTGTTTGCAGTGAACAAAAGAACCATCTGACAAAAGATGGATGTTTTAAGTTATGTTGAGAAGGGTTTTCTCCGGCCCTTTGCAAAACTAAAACATATGCGATTTCTGTAATAAGCGTGTGTTTGCTGAATGATCCCAGTCGGCGTCATACTTAATCTTATCTTATAAAAATACTGGCGTAAAATCCGGTTAAATCTGGTTCTCGTTTAAGGACAGCTGACAGAACGGCATTTTCCATTCGCCTTTTAAAGAATTTTTAATAATAATAAATACTAATATCGGGTTTATTATATGATAACTTTAAGTAAAATTTAACTTAGTTTGATTGATATTTGGTATTTGCAATTAAGAATAAGAATAAAAATAACACTAAGTTTTTAATTAAAACAAGCCGTAAACACGTAGAAAATTTCATGTACGGAAAATCCATGACAACTAAGGCATGCATGCTGCATACTTACATGCGGTATTAACCAAAGTTAACTTTTTCCTCGAGTGACGTCCTATTTTGAAGTCAGGAAATATAAACTTAATCTTATACGGTAAAATAACAAAGCATTTGTGGACAAAAAATAAAACTTTATCCAAGGAAAAAACTTTTGAACACGTTTTAAATTCAGACTATAACATATTCTAGCCAATTTTTTTGAAGTTTTGATAATATTTAATTGTTCACAAAAAAACAATTAAGCACGGGATCTTACGCTCCATTTAATTTTCAAACGTATCTAGGCAAAATATGTTCAATCGGAAAGAGAAAAGTTATTTTGCAGACGAAATATTTATTAGCAGTGTGGCTCAGTCGGGGCTTATTTTAGAACATTGTTTGCTTGCCGTCAGGACGAACGCACTTTGAAGCATTTTCTTGGCATAGATTTTTGTTTATTTTTATAGAGATCGTGTCTCGTGACGATACGCCCGGCGTCATTTATTTATACTGGTGCCTGTCTTATGATGTAAAGTTAACGAACTTTCTTTAGAGATTTTATTTACATATTTTTATTTCTAATTCGTTGTATGTAGCATTATTTTTCCTTCAGAACATAAAACATCCATTTGCTCCATTTTTGTGAAAAAAAAAACAAGTAAATTCGAAAGGTATTCGGATCTGAAATAAGTATGAAAATACACACGAATAATATACCACCATTCTAATGTAGTGACCTGTAAATTAATCAAATTTGTATTAACCGTTCCACGCTAATTTACTTTTTCATATTAATATAATTTATGTATATTTCGAATATCTTTGACGCCAAATTTTTCCATGTGCAAATCTTATCGTTGATTTTTAACTAGGCATGGCGCGACGCGACGTCCAGACATAAAAACGATTATGTCAAGATTGCAAAGTTGATAAATGGCGGTACATACCACAAATACTCAGTCAATCGAAATACATTTCATTGATACCATATCACTGATGCAGTATCCTTGATTCACTTCTCATGTCAGTGATTAATATTACTTATATGTGTTTTGATATATTCGACATCATATACTCAGACGATTTATTAGGCATAGGCAAGTACAAACATTCAAAAGTCAATATACACATAAAGTAGTTTTTTGTTTATAACTAGTGATCCGCCCTCGCTTCGCTTAGGTGTAGAGTTGTAGTGTAGACTATAGTTTATGTTCTCACGCTTGTATTATATACAATGACTTTTTTCATATAATTATAAACTTTCCGTGAAACTTTATTTAACTGATTGGGAAAATTTCGTTCGTTTCACGCTAAGATAAGTATACCCTTAGCACGAACCAATATCGTTTGCGAGTCTGAAATGTTATTGTTAAATTTTGTATGGAAACTTGTAGGGATGTGGAAAGTTGAAAAAAATATCCATATATCGATACATCAATCTTTTAAAAAATATCAATATCGGCTTCGATATATCGCGAAAAAAACATCGATATATCGATATATCGGACCAATTTTCTCAAAAATATCGTACAGTAGCTCACGAAATATGACACGCGGAATAATAATGGAACGAAAATTATCTCCCTAAAAATAGACCCTATTTTCGAATGATGAAAATGATTGCAGGGCCTCTCAGGTAAATGATTGCAGGGTCTCTTTCGTTAACAAGACTAGACAGTCACACACTTCACAGAATATAATGGAAATCAGCACAACCAATTCACCAGCGAAATTTCGATATTGGTTATTTTGTATCGATGTATCGATATATCGAATCAAAATATATCGGCAAAAAATATCGATATATCGATACATCGATATATTTTCAACAAGCCTATCTTAGCGTGATGTTATATAGTCTATAGCCTTCTTTTATAAAGGCACTCTGCAACACAAACATTTTGTTTTAATCGGAAAAGTATTCTCCGAGATTAGTGCGTTCAACCAAAAAGAAAGAAACAATATGGCTGAATCAGACTTATGAAATGCGACGCCAACCCACCGTGTGACGCGTGTTGAGTCAATTCAAAATGTTGTAATTTCTATGATCAGAATCATATTGGATACATCGACATTGTAGAAAATACTATCATTAATGCAATAGCCAGAGTTATAAAAGTGATGGGTGTGTGCAAACCACTGCGTCAGAAGATATATTATTAATAAGGACATGGACCAACGGTTAGGGGGACACACTTTTTTTTAACAGTAGAGCAATGATGCATTCTATACAACGGGTCCTAAACAACGCAACGAAATTTTCCCAATCAGTTAAATAAAGTTTCACGGAAAGTTTATAATTATATGAAAAAAGTCATTGTATATAATACAAGCCTGAGAACATAAACTATATTCGATATTCGTTTGTGCTATGAGGTGCAGGAGGAGCGGAGCATCGATAAAAATGTTGCAAAAACGGGTAAAAATATTCCATTTGTGCGCTTTCGTTGCGTGCGCGGGGTAAACGGTTCAAGTTCACAAAAATCATGTAAGACAGAATTGTTCCCCTTTAAAAGTTCTATAAAAAGCCCAAGACAGCATATGTCCATCTTTTAAGTTTGACTCACTATAACCTTTTTCCTGAAATTAACGCGAGTAAAACCGCAGGAGATCTGTAGTTGCGAGATAACTGTAATAGTTATACATATGGTATTGCAAACTTTCTTTTAGTACATCATTTGTTTCTTAGGTTTTCACGCACATCACTCATTAAATAAAACTATAGTTTTATTTAGTACATCACTTTGCTTTATTGTCAATTATACTATAGCCTATGTTCATCAGGGATAACGTAGGATTCTAAATGTGAAAGAATTTATTAAACGGTCTAGTAGTTTCGGAAGCCTATTTTCAGTAGAAACAAACAAACAATCTAATCATTCCTTTTTCATAATATTAGTTACATAATTGATCTTAGCTAATTTATGTAGTGGTTTTTTATCATCGTAGTTTAGGTACCTTAACTGCAATGTATATTTATGACGAATCAATTTTTTATATTTTTTGTGTTATTAATGATAATAGGCATATTGAAAGCGGTGTAAGTACTGTGTTCTTGCCAGTCATCATTAGCAGCATTAGTCCATTTGGTCGATGAATACATCGGATGTGATAACGTTTGCGTCATGGCAATTTATTCGTTAGGATCCTTTGATACTAGAGTGCCGCTCGTATTATGGTTTATGATCACTGTATACTGTAAACAGCTTATAGCGGGATTTTGTTCAAAAAAGTTTTTTTAGTGAATTCAATACATCTTTTTTAAATATACGTAGGCAAAAACCTCTATTTCCAGAAAAACCTGAAATATACCTAATATACTTATAAGTATAGTCAAATAGGAGTAAAAAAAATATAGCATAGTGATCCAATACATATTCAAGAAATTTGATTGATTGTAGTAGGTACCAATTTAAGTTTAATGTGATGTAATGGTAAGAGTATTAAACGATAAATCGAATTACCTTTAGAAAAAAATATTCTGTTCGTATACCATCACGTTTTAAAATAAGTATCTAATAAATTTCACGATTTACTTATAAGTAATTCTCCAAATTTAGTGTCTATGAAAAACAAAATAGTAAGAATATTCGTCGACATTTGGCCTAGAGTTTTATTGTATGGCGACCAACATAAGAGCATCAAATTAAATGAGTCCAAAGTCCAGTATTAATGGTACTTCAGAATTTGTACTCTAATGATATCGTTTAAGTATCAGTGTTGTCATGTTTTAGTTAGATTTCTATATAAAGTGCCTAGTCATATATATTATACTTATAAAATTAATGTTTAGCAAATAAAACGATTCTTTAATGAAAATAACAAGAAAAGTATCAGTCTCACAAATACAGCTGCTACACGTAGCTATGTGCTAATATAAAAAACATGTTCGCCGAATTATCATATGACATTTTCGGGCTGTTATTTATTTATGATCCGGATAAAACCGGCGAAGTTTCGCTTCTTACTGGATGTGCTAAAATATGTGTCTAATAATGTTAACATTACGCACCTAGACAAAAGATATAATACCACATTCACACAACACATAAAAAAGGGACAAATTGGAGAAATAAGACAGTTTTGCTTATCATGGTATACTTTTTTTGTACTTGTAAGAAACCATAAATTAATACAACTAGAAGTTTTTGTATACAAACACATGAGAGATTATATTATTAGCTAGTTAGGAAAAAAGCTTTAACTTATTTTCTGAAAGTAAAAATCAAATAAGAGTTCGTTAATCTACTCATATAATTCAGGAATATTATTAATATTAAGAAGAACCAGAACAGAAGGTCCATTACAGAAATCCCCTACACTAAGAGACTTAAATTTCAAACTAAAAGTTTTCTATATTATCACAAGAGAGTTTGTTAAAATAATAATTTCAAATTTTTTTCATGAAAGTTAAAAATCGTAAATGTACTCGCATATAAGGGATTATGATAATATTAAAAAGAACCAGGAAAAAATCAGCGATTGCTGCATTTTATCCTATCTTCATATTGTTTCGTCAAAAACTGACATAAAAATGAAAAAAAAACAGAAAATAATAGTAGATTACTGTAACAGTGGGTTTATCACAGAAAACCATTCTCCCTGGTACTGAGACCCTCAAAAAATATCAATTCGATTCTTTAATTAAAGAGAAAAACGTAAAGTATTGTAATCAATAACGTAGATGTTACTAGAAATGGATAGGTAGGCCTACCCAAGGCAATCTAAAGGAGAAAACTAAATTAAAAAATACATAATCAGCTAGCTCTACATTTTCATTGAAAGCAAGCTGTGTGAACTAAAATACAATAATCAAATAAACTGTATTTTAAATGGAGACTACGGTATATATGTAAATAATTAAAATTTTACAACCTACTATGATCATGATCATTGTACGTTTTGAATTTTATAAATAAATTAGTGAACAGTCGGTGCAATATGCTATTGAATTTAGCGACAGTTTTCTTTTTCGTGATAAATTGTACTGCAAACAAGCCGCCCAGTTATTTTCCTTATGATGTCTTTGACATTTGGGCACTTGTGCCTAACGGGTGACCTTCAAGTCGACCTTGTGATGCGGACTACTTTCAAAGAATAAAAATTATAGCCGTCGACTTCGATCCGTTATCTATGAGTGTTGAAAAAGTAAACATTAAATATTTTGTGTGCACGTAAATTGTGATTTTTACAAATTTAACGTTTTTATCGTTTTGCCTAAAAATGTAGAGTACACAACCGACAATTTTTATGCCTAATTTTCATGTAGATAAAAAGGAAAATTGGACCTACTATAAGTTATAAATGTATTATATTATACAACTTTACCAAAGGTAGTTGTATGGACATAACCTCACTTTACCTATCAGTGCTTCTCCTTTACCTTTTGATGAGTTTACCATCTTATTTCAGAGTAATACTTGTGCCAATTGCCTAGTGTAAAAGAGCTAACTACGTTTTTATTGTAACGCATGCAAATATCTGATTTTCTATTACTTACAATATCTCGTGCCGGACGCATATCGATTCGTCTTGTCAATCGCGTCGACTGAGATAAAAGGTGGTGAACGAGTAACGTTGGAGTCCACAGGGTGCTGTCATAAATTCCACCGAGCACAAGAATTACAAAGGTATCCGCGATGGTGCGAATACCGGTATCTGTGACCGTTTCGTCGTGCAGAAGTGAAAGGAGTAGAGTACTCTGACCGGCCGGCGACGCAGAATACTTGCCAGTCGAGTCGCGCGAGGGTCACCTTGGGACGGATCGGCCGCGCATGTGCACCACACCCTCAGACACCCCGCCCCGCCGCGCCCCGCTCGCGCTCGCACGTGTGACGTCACGACTGGCGCGCGGGCCCCTCAGGAAGCCACCTAGCGCCTAGCGCTCACGTGACGACCTTCACGTTCACGCGATGAAATTATTGTGTAACTGACCTAATATTTACCCAATTTAGTGAATTTAATACATCACATATTTAGCAAACGTTTTTTGTTCAATTTGAATAATACTGAATATTTCATTTGAAAGGAAAGGAGGAGTGTAATGTTTTAACAATAATAGAGTCAGTAGACAAGAATGATGCAATAAAGTGTAGCGCGCATTATGAAATTCAAAATCTCGTAGAGTCTGTGCGGAAAGAGAATGGGCGTGGCGAAAAACGGAACTAACATTAAGATTTTTATTTGGCAATCAAACCCAGCAATCTGTAAAACGTCAAATTTTTGTATTTTTGTATTGATACGGATTTGTTTGTTGTTGTGATTTCTTGCGGTTTTTTGTATTTAATCATGTCTAAAAGAGGTAAAACCTTACAAATACGGTAGCAAATCCCTACAGCGCCCTCCAATCTAAATCCCATTCTCTTTCCGCACAGACTTCTAGCATTTTACTAAAAAAATATTTATATTTCTGTTATCATTAGTAAGTACATATTTCGTTAACAATTTTTAATGGACTTTTTAAAAGTGAGTTCTTGGTTATGTAGATGTTAAACAATGATGAGAGAAATTATAGATTGTTGTGAAATTATTTTTCTGAAATAAGTTGGAATCAACCTATGTATGTATATTATCATTTGCATTTTATGTGTAGGTTACCTATAATGTGTAGGTATAAATGCAAGCTATTAGTATTCTTCTTTTGAAGTTTCAAACTTGGTGTATAAATAAATTATGATCATACAAGTAAAGTTAATATCATAAGTTAATAAATGAATGTTTTTGTTATATCTATGAAAGTAGTGCAAATTTTCGTTTTAGATAAGAAAGGGACTTTTTAATAATCTTACGACGAATTCCTAGATATCATCAGTAACTAACTGATTGCAGTTATCTTATATTATAAAGGTTTATGCTACTGTTATTTTTTTGAGGAATTGCTTAAGTTTTATCTTCTGTATAATATGTAAAAAATGCATATGATTTTCCCGATTTCATTCTTTTTTTTTTAAGTTTTCTACTTTTTTGAAAATTCGCACGAGAAAAAATTAAGGAAATTACCCAAAAAATGTAAGAAAATTAACTTACAACTTTACCTAATAGGGGAGGAGATAAGGAGTTGAGTTTTAAGTTATTTTTATATATTTTAATCGAGCGGTACGATGTCTGTCTTATCCTCTAGTAGAAAATATAACTACATTTCTTCGGTGATTCAACAATAAATCCTAAAAGTTCTACTTCTATAATATACCTACAAGGCCTGACTGTCTGACTCATCAACATCCAGACCATACATTTGAACTCAGAAAGCTTTTTGCACAAATTTCGCATAGTGAACAAAGAAATAAAGCAAGTAGTAGGAGTAAAATTCGAAGGGGTAAAGAAAAAGATTCAAAGTCTGTATGGCGAAAAAATAGAATAAAAATTTTAATTTATGACTACTACTAACAAACACATCTTAGGTAATTTTCCAAACATCAACCCTTTAATCAACCTAATTGGTTGAATTCGGATCAACGTCCAGAACAAAACCTTGCAGAAATTTTTGCACAGAGTTTCCTTGTATGATGTGTACAAGGAAAAAGAAAGGATATTTTAAAATTCAACGCATGAAGAAGTGAAACGGATTCTGAAGAGCCTGCTCTGGGTCTCGTCAACAATTAGTCCAAACTTTTTGACCTAGAGAGCTGAAATTTTGCAAACAGTTTCCTTTAATACCATGTGCAAAAATTATGGAATGATGTTTTGAAATAAGACCACCCAAAATGGGGTAAAAATCTAAATTAGTATCGCGTAAAATATTTTGACTATAAATAAAACATTGTATATATTCTAAATTATGTAATGGAAGTTGACTTCTGAATTATCCCATAAGTAATTTTTCAACCTGATTTTCGACTTTGTATATAATAAAAGTAAAATCATTTGCACACAGGGAGAAAAAAGCAGCCCTTGCTGAGTTTCTTGCCGGTTCTTCTCAGTACAAGGTCTCCCACAGTAGATTTGCGAACCGATGGCGTAGCTATTTGACCTTCACTAGTGTACTATTAGCCTAGACTGCATAAATGGTTTTTGATTCTTTTTGACTCAAACTTTGTAAGCAACCTACAGTACCCTTAGTACGAGTGCGAGCTCTCGAAAACTATCATCGATTTCGTAATTGTAAATTATGTTTCTATGTCTATTTTGGTGAAAAGTAACCAAATATACTTAAAATTTAAGGAGACGCAAATGATTTAATGATAGAATTTAAGCACTGTTTATTTGGATTGAAACGAAAACAATAAGATCAGTACCCTTAGTACGAGTGCGAGCTCACGAAAACTATATGGATTATAATACAACTTTTGCAGAGTACAGTAATTTAGATTTATCTCGAAGAAGGTTGTCAAAATAATGCTCACATTTCCAAGCATGTTTGAGAAAAACAGTTTTGTGCTTGATTGTGCTATTGACGTTGTAAGAGCAAACTACTCTGATATCTATTTTAATTTCGTTGACATTGATTGCAAACAAGGAACTGAATTAACTGGTCAATCTGCAATATATATATTATAAGTATCTATATTATGATCAAGCGATTAAGACTTCCTACAATACTTGTTTATCTAACAAGGTTATAATATTAAGATATTTTGCTTAAAATGTGCTTAATTCCAACTAGTCGATTAGCTTCGAACCATAATGGCTAATGTCGCACTCGATAATTGTTTTTCGTTACAATCGATCGATTTTCTTGAACACTTCTCTTACGTTGAGTCTCTATTACGAATGTGTCTTATATCAGTTAGTACTCTATCACTAAGTTTTCTTAGAAAACTGTTATGCCCAGTTCCTATAATATAATCAACGGGAATTTCCATGTCGAATTTTATTTGTTTTTCCTCGTAAGAAACCTATGACTTTCGAGCTCGCAGGTTTCGATTCCGTTTTATTCCGAATAAATTAAAAATCATGTATAAAAATAGATGCAGAAATTACTCAAATTACGCAAATTAAATAATTGCCACTGATACCTATTTGGCTATAATTTTAATAAAAATACAATATTCATTAAGAAAATAATGCCAGGTGAAGTGGCTTATGGTATAATGTTAAAATAATGAATATGTTAATGCATAAATTTTTGACTGTTGTTTTTGTTTAAAAAAAAAAGACATAAACGCGCTCCAATTTTTAGTAGTTATGCATGTTAAGGTGCTATCCCATGATCTGTGTTGTCTCAGACAAGGCCGCGCCACGCAGTGTTGCCAAAAGTATGAAAACCCTAACCTTCGTGATTTAGCAGTATCTATACACATAATACGAAGTAAATACACTTTGATATGAAATTTGAATAATGTTGACTGTTTGTGTCATATACGCAAACCAAAAATTTCATCAGAAAGTAAATAAATGTCCAGTCCACACAGGATCGTCTCAGTAAGTACAGATTTATTATGCTATCTAATACGTTCGACTTCTCATACGTTTGGCAAACCTGCGCAGCGCGGCCTGGCCCGCGACAACACAGATCGTCGGATAGCACCTTTAGAATGTTAGATCATGTTCCTGCTAATTTTCTATTACGCAAAAACTGATGAATGCTTGGAATGACATTGAGCTCACACATAGTTTATTACTTGTATTGAAACAATGTCATCCTTTTAAATAGGATTCTGAAAAAAATCAGGTCTATATTAGTGACATACTTTTCACTGAATAATATTGTGTATAAGGTGGGGTTTTGTTGTATCGTGTAAGAAAGATTACTCTTTGGCGAAGTAGCTGGTGCGTTTGGTCTGCGATCCTGGAAGTAAAGCTACTTCCACGATGATATAAAGACTGACCAAAAGGTAATCTGCATCAAATGAATGCCCTCATCTGTGTGGTGGATCATGGCCGGTTCTCTCTATTAAATCTAAACGCAAGGCATGTGCTCTGGCAGTATAGATATTAATAGGCTGCTGAGGATTTTAATGACTATTTAGCATTTTTGTGTAAAAATAACTTTCATTAAAAAAACTTTAACATATCGAAAAGGTCAAAGCAAACATTTATGAACTATTTACCATAAAACGCGGTAAAAAAAAACAAAAAAAGCAATTAATTTTCTTAAAGAATAACATTTATAGCAAAGTTGTATTTTATCACTTTACATATTTAAATTTTTCTGAGGCCAGAATTTTAAATTACAGTAAACGAATTGTCAGTCCATATCGAAACGGTGAATATCTGTAACTAATTTTCTTATTATTGTAGTCAGCTCTGTGTAGTCAGATCGTCGTAGACGTAGCAAAATGTAAATTTGCTGATTTCTGTATTTCTATTTACTTAATTTTAGAAAATATTAGGCTTATTTTCATGTTTATTCCCTTGTATATATTCTAAACATTTTTTTTAAGATTTCAGAAGCAAAGTCCATGAACTTCAATGTATTTTATTAGTCAATGTTAACTTGTGCGACTTATCCGAAATTTAAATAACCGTTTGACCTAAAGGGCATGATACGAAGGAGATGGAATTTGATACGAACATAGATTATGAGTAAAAGGCGTCTGTTAAAAAAGAATTTAAGAAAATTTCTCATCTATAGAGGCAGAATTAAGAAATAAGAAGAATTAGGAAGAATAGATCTCACCTATAGAGGTGAAAGACAGTATGGAACTTCGCTGGTCTTTTACATTTATGCAATTATCCAAGCATAACACACTGCTTATGGTACTGGCATCTTACCAAAAAGTCTAACACTGATGGCCGCACCTAGAGAAGTGAATTAAATGCAATGCTTCATTAATGGCTTTAATCAAGATTACACTGAGTTTTCATAGGAGATAGGTAGGCCTAAAAGAGCTTAGTTGCCTAGATATTTCTGGTTATTAGTTCAATATAACAACTGGTAAGTTGCGTAACCAGAAATAAGCATATGCTTATAAACCAGGAGTTGTTTCTTTAAATTTAAAGATTACTTATAATATTTAAGTTATCAAAATTCGAACTTAATATTTAATTGACATCTAGAAGTGTGGCCATAGTAGTATCTATAAGTAGACCTATTTTAGAACGTAGGAAGTATAGCAGCATTGAGCAGATTGATTTATTTTCCTGCTTTTAGTATATTCAAACAAGGTTCAATAATCCATATATAATGTTACTTTAGGCTTTCTAAGTTATAATTCTAAAGTTTTGGTCATGTGTAAACTAAGTTTAGTTGCACTTGTCTTTAGGTGAACCCCCTCCTAGATAGTATAGGAAAACAAGAGAATTGCGACTCATGCCAGACACGTAGCGCTTGCCTTGATTTGTTGGTTACAAACAACCTGTGACGTGACGTGGATCACGAAAAATCACATTGCGTATTGAGTCATAAATAAATAAATATAAAAGTGTTGCTCTCACATTGCTTCTCCATTCACGCCCACGTCTCCCACTACTGAGCAGTTGTGTAGTGAGCTGAGTGATTTTGTAAAACAACTTTCAAGAATGTACCATTTGACAAAATATTGAGTACGTACAGTTTTTTATACATCATACGAAAGGTATCGTAAACTATAAGAACGAAAAGCTCGCTGCATGTTCAAATTAATGTTTCCAGTAGGTTTACTCTTATATTATATTATATCAAATAGGCATTCACCATTCCTTAGATTGGGCAATGGTGATTGCAAGAAAAGGAAGTAGTTGCGTCAGTTACTTCATATGTAAAATAAATACCTACTACTTTTGGAGTATGGTGATTAGTATTGGAAAATGCTTTAGTGTTTTTTCAAGTAGAAGAAGAAGCAAGTGATTCATTAATACATGAAAGTTATTTTGATTGGCTGGGAAAAATTTCGGTATTACATATTATGAGGTGGTTTTGCGTCTAATATTCATTTTATTAATTCTCAAAATTTTAACATGTTATTATTTTATGTCTGTAACGAGTAAATGTCTAAAAAGAAGTCTATGTAAATAGACAATTATGAGAGATTCATAAAATTAATTGTTGGACGGGTTAATTCGATGATACATTTGGCCACAAACTTTCAAAAAACATTTAAGTGTCTTACTTCCCCATCCTAACAAATCTTTCCCTTAACAATTGAATATCCGCATTTCTTATGTCGTTTTTAGTAAAAAACATAACGAGACAGAAGTTATTTTCAATATTAACAGCGTGTAGGTACAATATATCCATCATCAACTGAGTGTGATATGCAATGCAGGTGAAACTAAATGTAGTATTGTGTAAGTCGCGAAGACTTAAAAGACGGCATTGTCATACTATGATGCTGTAGATGTATTTCATAATAATGCAAACAGGTTGTCATGAGTGCAACGGCTCAGCGGGTCCCGGCTTGAAGGCGTGGCGAGGTAACCCGCGTGTGCGTTGCCGACGTGCCTCCGATCACACACTACGCGAATTATATTATCAAGAGACACGTCATACTTACGTATTACATAAATAAGTTAAGATATGATATTTATTAAAACTAAACTGCGAAGAGTCTTTTCAGTTTCAAAATCGACACGCATGATTGTTATCTTTTTTAAGACTTTCTTTTTTTTAATTACCGTTTTTGCGTCAGGAAGAAGGTTATAGATATATTATTTTTGACCAGCACATTAGAAGTTTTAAAATGCACATTCCAGGCTTTGGAATCAAATTCATCATTTGATTTGATGAGAGAGAGAGAGAGAGAGATGATAAATAAACAGTTAATTTTAAGTCATTAGGTCAAAGAGTTCTGAAAAATCTAAATAGGTATTTACTATACCTAATTTGAGAATAAAGCGTAGTTATTTATTTCCATTGCAATGTAAACATTTTAACATAATAAATGTAAATATATACTCGTACTTGCTATTGTATCAGGTTACAGATCTGTTTGGTTTAAAGATTGATTGTGCATAAGGTGGCGAAATAAAATATATAATATTGTAAAATATAACTCACAAATTAACAATAAATACAGGTATCTATATTTATTGCTGTTGAATTGCAGCGGATTACTAATGCTCGTTTATTGTTATCTGTCATACGCCTTGGGTATTTTTTACTTATCTGAACGAGATATAATTCTTCGTAGAAACATTTTTCATTAATTTACACACGCTTATTATGTAGAAGAAGAAGAATTCTACTTTTCCTTACCAGAAGGATACCTTGCTAGAGACGAGTAGAAATAGCCCTTCAATATATGCGGCGAAGGTACTGTAAAAAACATTTTTACAGTACCTTCGCCGCATATATTGAAAGTATACAAGTACAGTACCCACAGCCCGGGACTGCTCACGTTTTATTTTAAGTATCAATATTCTACATAATTATGGTAGGGAAATGACAAAACCAGGGATTTCACGAAATCACGATAGATGGCGAATATTGTGTAGTTTATGTCTTCTTATTAATTTCATGGAATCCCTGGTTTCCTCATTTCCCTACGATGTATATTTATTACAACAACACAAAAATTTATGGGAAAAAATTTGGCTATAAGAACAATGTACATAGGAGTCGATCAAAAAAGGCACGGCCGTACCATACTTTTCTCGAAACAGTTGAGGCTATTTTCGACCCCTATAACTTCGTTGTGGATAAAAGTAGAAGCCTGAATTTTCACTAACCAAGCATGCTACTGGTTGCAATGTTTCTTAATTTTGTCACTCACTGATTGACTGATCATGAAACCCATGGTTTCGAGCACTGTTCTTCGTGCAGACATAGAAGCTTCAACTTTTGAATGCAATTAGTGTTTAGTGTATAAATCAAGAAAAAACCTAAATATTTTGAAATTCGGTCTTGTTTTCTAGATACACCGACTGTATAAATAACTTTGTAATCCTATATGAATATATAGGTTATATTCATATAGTTAAATTTGCACCTACAAAAATAAGAATATGAGCTTTTCTTACAGACAGAGGACTTTAAGAAAATCATTTGTATTCAAGAATTAAAAGGTACAGGAAAGTAAAAAAAGTACGACTATCTACAAAAAGAAATGTGATGCTATCAAATACATAACTTGTAAAAAACCAAGTCTCGCAACTCAGTTCTATCGTAAGAAGTTGTGAGATCCATGTTATACCAATATAGGTTAAATAAATAGGTTAACTTGGCGATCGCACTAAACAACCTACTTTAATGTTTTCATGCATTTGTTTTCATGCAATCGTCAATATGGCCATACATTGTGTCTTCATGCGATGGCCAAGTCAATCTATTTATTTAAAAGACAGAAGGTCCCTTAAGCAGGGACGGAAGAAATTAACCGACTTGGTAGGTATTACCTACATGGATCTCACAACTTTTTACGGTAGAAATACTGAGTTGCGAGACTTGTTTTCAGTTTCAAAGAAATATTATTATAATGTTGTAATCAATCGCATCTTAAAACCACAGAGGTTTGAATTACAATTATTGTTTTTACAAGTTGTTTTTGATATCGTTAGTTTTAATATATCCTTTTCAATTAAAAATATTCGACACGTGTCATTGATTTTATAAGCAGTTTTTTGATTATTTTAATTCAAAAATACAAGAAAAAATACAAATATTTACTAAGATTTGCTGTGAAGTGCAAGCCCGGTAATTTCGATTCAAAGACTACAGTTAATTTTCTGTAGACTGTAACCAAAAACTAACTGGATTATTTACTGCACGTTACCAATGATATGCATTTTATTTTTAAGATTCTACATCTTCAGGAATGAAAGTGTTACATTTGTATTCACATCAAGAGCGTGCTATGCCAGTAGCTTCTGCGTTTCCAAAATTTTAAGGCGTTTCAAATTACGCAACAGTTTCATTCATGGAAAAGAATGCTTAAAGCGATATCAATGAAGAAAAATATATCCATCTATAATAATGACTCGCGACAGTTTTCCTAGAAGGGCGGGACTGCTTTTACTCTTTTATTTCTATCCACGTTGCATAAGCCTTTTGTAGATGTTGCACCGAGCATAAAATTTATATTTTCAAACAAAAAAAATGATCATATCTATTTCTTTTTCCAAGCTCATGTTTCCTAGTGTTACCACTATGAAATTGCACAAGAACTTTACAAACGAATAATTTCAGATTCATACTTTAAATAATGACGTGAACATCTATATCTTGTGTTTGTAGTAACTACCACCAACGTTTCGATTTTCAGACACATTTTGGGATTGGAGCAAAATATGGTGCGGGCAAAGCAACAAGCTACAATGTTGTCAAAACATTCGTAGTCAAGAAGAAGATGACATCAACCTATATGCTTAATTAAATTAAAATGAAAACCATTCTGATTGAAATTTGCATATCAAAATGTTGTTTTTGAAGGTTTTGCTTGACTTTTTTTTATGAAATGTTAACGATGTTACGGAATCCGGAAACTTCCGTGTGAGAAAACGGTTCTCTTTTTATTTAAATTTTTTTTGTTAATATACCTAATCATTGTGATGAAATAAATCGAAATTAAAATTCAAGTGCCTAAATACGCTACCTTAACATCCACCAAGTCGTTAACCATTTTATTGCTGAAGGCGTTGAAAACGAAGCACTTAAAACACTTTGTTACAGTAATCGCAGTCAAAGAACAAATGACTAAGCACGTATGCCACAACGTCTTTTTTAATGATCCCATACAATAAAATACCTTATCTTATATGCCATTCGCCACAACAATACTTTAAGTTTTATCTAAATAGGCACCAAGAGAATTATTGTATAATGATAATATCACCGACTAGAATATAGTTATTGTTCTTATCCGTTGGGGTTATAAATTTATTGGATAATAAATTCCTTCACTTTTATATATTGATAAAAGTGTGCGATATTGAAAACGACACTGGTGGTCAACAAAATATGTACTGAAAGCCACGATAGCCTGTTAGGTAACGAGCCGCGCTGATCGCTTGGCTTGGCACAACATACTATATGTAATCACTTGGATAACCACCAACGTTGGTACATATAGTGTAGGTCAATCTTATGTACTGAAGTTTAGTAAATTTCATTATATTTAGGCAGTTAAATAAAAATATGAACATTTAGTTTATTATTTTTAATTATGTGGTCTACGAATATAGCAATCGAACCATATTATACTACCTTAGTATATAAATATACCGAAATCTACAAACTTTAAGTAAGGGTTTTGTTGGGCTCCTGGCCAAAAAATCAATATGAAAATGCAAGTGTTGTAATCTTCAAAAAAACTACAGCCCGAGTAAACTATCGTCAAAAATGAGAGGGAAGTAGTTACTACAAAAGTAATATAAACAGTTCTAGATTTGTTTTTACTAGGGATAACATTGTTTTAGGTGTACATTTGTAAATGAACTTTCGCATTGAGGTAGTTACAAAGTGAAAGTTTAAATTTGTTTTTGCAATAACAAAGTCGACCTTAACCTTGATTTAATTAGAACGTTAGTAAGTAGGTAAATGTGTAACGATGGCAGATGATAGAATATAATTAAAAATCTTCGATAGCGAAAATAAAAAAGTTGTGTCAATATACATTTTTAATCGTTGAAACTGGAGTAGTTTATCTGTCTTGTCACCAAAGTATAATGTATTGATAATGATCGAAACAACCTAAATCTAAGTTTCAGTGCGATTGGCGTAACGCACACATACCATAGGAGAAGTGCGGCGAAGATACTAAGAACTAAACAATTACTATAGCATAAGTTTAAGAATTTAATGGCAAACATGGAAAAAAGCATGCGTTGCACAGAGCTGTGAAGGCACAGCGGTGACACTCTGTGTACGTGAGAGTTCCAGCGTCAGTGACCTTGAGCAGGAGCGTGTATGCGCTAGGGTTGAACTTGGAATTTAGACTTGTGCCAATGAATATTTATGCATAGTAAGTTATTAAATGTAAACTGATTCAAGGATACTGGGGTAAATAATGAAGGATAGGTTTGATTTTATAATCAATTTTTAATCTTTTAATGTAGGTACTATAACAAATTGCTAACTTTTATATGTTTTCTCCTTTTTCGATTCGTTTTATAATTCTTATTATTATCTAAATAATAATAAGATTGCGTAGCGTAGTCAGTCTGTGCGTGCAATGCAGTGCAACGCTATTATTTTACTATTTCGCTACTGCCATCCCTTCGGTCGAGGCAGTCGGCGACTGCCGTCTCCACGCCCCGCGCGCCGCGCAACGCCCCCGCGCACCTCCAGACACCCACACATAGCCGCGGGCGATTTTACGAGCACACATGCTTAAGTGTCGCTTCTTTTCGCGTAGTGTATATATTCTATATTCTGTGGTGAAGGGGCCACGAGAGACGGCGCGCGGCTGCTTCGCCCCGTAGCTCTAGGCCGCGCTCAAGACAGTGATTACCAGAGAGCCATTTCGCCTTCCCCCCCCCCCCCCCCCATATTTACCTGAAATCCCTCCAAAATACACATTTTTGTGGAAAAAACCCCCAACATGTAAAATATTCATTCAAAATACAATATTTACTACATAATATGTATTTCTGAAATAGCATCTATTAATGAATCAACATCTTCGCACGCGTCGTCTTTCCCACTTCTTTCTAAATTTTGTTACAGAACTTTGTTTTGATAATGCCAAGTTAAAAATCCCCAAATTTGGGGGGAATCTCCCCAATCTGGCATCAGTGGATCAAGGATGCCGCGTGCCGCTCCGTGGCTCTTGACCGCGCTGGATTCGCCGCGAGTAGTATCATCTGCTTCTGCTGCGCCATTGAGTGACAAAATTAACACGTCTACACTGTGACATTATAATATTTGTTGTAGGTGTACTCTCAGTCTTTGTCTCGATATAATATTTTTTTATCAAGATTAGCTAAATATTTATATATTCTATACATCGAATGAAATGGAACTTAAATCTTAGCGACCACCTGGGGAAGTAATCCATTTTAGCAGTTAAATAATATCCTTTAGTGTTGTGCTTCCATCTACAGATCCTGGGACGGTTAGCGAAGGCAACGGAGTCTGGGTATCGCGAACGTAAACGCGAACAAAATAATACATAGCTATATTATATTATGTAGGTATAACAATATTTTTGAATTGAGTATGGACAAAGAAATATATAAGGAAGTATGTATGTTATAAATTACTACCACTGTTTCATATTTATGATAATAACGTAAGAATGATAATAAATACTCGGAATCTTTAATATCTTGAGTAGTGTGGTATACATGGGCAAACATTTATTGCTTTTATAAAGATTAAGTTGATAATGAACTATTTTGAAAGTACCCCTATGGTTCAACTTTTTGTGGCGCTTTGTTTCTTTGTTTATGAAAAACGCAATTTAGAATCAAAATAGATACCTACGTGTTTGCAAAATGAAACATCGTTGAATAAAAATAGCCATGTTTTTGCAAACATGAAACGCAACAAAACGATATTTGTCTTACCGTTAATAAAGCGCTGTTAAGATAATTCGCTTCTCATAATTATACCCATTTATAGGATTACCAAGAAGATAACCGCAACACTGATAACTGTGTTTCTAAGAAAATTATATAATTCTTGTTAGGTATATGATACTTTATTTATCAAAATTGTATTTATCAAGTGTTTATTTATCAAACTATAAAAAAAGGAAATAGAGAGAAAGCATATTATTAGCTTTGGAAAATTTAATACTGTTCAAACGTTTTATTAAATTATTAGAACCACACATGCCTGGCCGAGGATTTATTTCTCTTAATAACCGAGTCCTATACCTATGGCTACAGTTTCAATGCGAACAAATAGGAGACAAATATTTCTGTACTACTTTTTAAAATGAAATTTTCAGACATTTAAAAATCTCTAAAATCAACGCACGTAATACCTAAATATCATAGGTATTAAAAGTAAAAAGAAACGCAATCTATCAGCCTTGTTACCTAGGATCTTATTACACGGCGAGATTACATAAATTGTGGCGAAGTCTTCAAGTTGGTTGATTGAGCTTTTTAGTACAGTAACTACAAATGGAGGGATAAGTGACAATATTATTGATAGATAGGTAATTACTCATATTTTTTTTTAGAAATAAGAAAATAAATTGATTTTTTTATAATATAGGTAGTATAATATAGGTACTACTAAAATGGGTTTCTTGTAGGAAAAAAATATCCACAGGGAAAACTTGATATTACGCGAAAGTAAAACGTACTTACGAAAAGTGATGTAAAGAATTCATTAAAAGTTTTAAACAATCAAGTAGGAACTTAATAGTACAACAAAACTGGTTATGCCATCTATCAATGATTTGCTACGATAATTTTCAATTATCTTATTTTTCGTAGCATGCTTTAGTTTATCGTAGCCGTAGCATTGACGTTATGAGGCACGTACGCACGTAGTATTTCACTGTAACTCTAGATGGCGTTAGTATATTCTTTAAATATTTTTTTTGGTATTTCACAGAATCTAATGAATTAATTCAGAGACTTTATCTGCAGATACTGTTACTTGGATTAAAACATACATTTTTTTTCTCGGAAAAAATAATTTCTTGTGGTTCGCATGACGCATCCACATAGTAAGTAGGTAATAGATTACAAGTGTTATGTGATCCTATTAGAAATTTTAATTATTGATTACCCGACGCTGTCTTGCAGCCCGTGTTCGAGTAAAAACAATGTAAATATGGCATAGGGTGCCTGAATTCGAGTGATGTGTTTCGTGCACCCGAATACGGGCTAACGACCAAATGTTTTAGCGTCATCACGATGGGTCCGCATGTAGGTTCATGGCATGGCCCAATCTCCCTATTCCATCCATAGGGAAGGTCTGTTTCTCAGCAATGGGGACATATATGGTGTGCAAAATCGAAGTTTTCGGTGTTCACAGCAGTAGGTGGAGAAGATCGCGCTTGAATTCTGTAACAGTTATCAAAACAAATGATTCACATGCTGTTTCATCGCAAAAATCATCAATCAAGTTTGATGGGCACATTCTCCTGAAGCACCAAACTCTACTAACTCTTATATAGAAATGTGCCTTGTATACGAGTAAACAATATAGTAGCATAGTAGAGTATTAACTATCCTACTTACAATCTTAAGGTAACAGTTTTTTTTAGAGTAGAATACAACATTATTGAAGTAAATAGCAACATGGGCAAGTTACTCGACGACAACTGGCCATTCCCATTCCGACATCTGAACTACTGTACCGCACACTAGCAGTAGGGTGTGTGATCATATCCTAAATCTTTTGCACGAATCCCTTTTTCTAAACTTTTATTAATAATAAATAATTTATTTTCTTTATATTACTAATAATATTTTATTAAAGCAATTACATTTTTTTTTATTTGTAATGTAGAAATTGCATTTATTTTCCAATGTTTTAATTTTTTTATTATTATAGTTGACTCTATCACGAAGTCTATCCCTGCACAGTGTCCTAAATCAAACTATTAAATCGTAAGTGATAAATACAGAACAGACTTATTTTAAATTATGTTATATACCTGGAGTTTAATAATATTATACGTAAATAAGTATTTCAACTCAATCTACATAAGCACCAGTGGGTCTTGACTAGTGGGTGTCGAACATTAGAACGTAATGTAGTGTTAACGTTCGCTGAATTTACTTTTAAGTTTCAAATTAAACCATAATTTTTAAATACAGGTGTCGTAATATTGTCAATTGAGACCAATAAATAAAAAAAAATTATACACATATAAATTACGGCAAGCAAATTCATGGTTTGCAGCTTATTTTTTAACTTCAAATAGGAAGAATGTTACTTGTCTAAGTTCTCTCATTATGACGTCTTCACTAAGAAACAAACTTAATAAATGATCCTAATGACCTAATTGATTAAATTCAAGAATGCATATATTTTCAATGCCACCTTTCTTCTGATAGAGTTTTGGTAAAACCTGAATTTGGAATGCAGAATGCTATGTTTACCTTTGACCATACGTGGAACTAATGCATCTATTGTAAAGGAGCTGGATACGCCTCTCTTCAATCTTCATTGCGCCTCCTAATTTCCTTTATAATTAGAATTTTATAGTTATAGTAGCCCGTCGCCCGTGATATCGTCCATGTTAACTTTAGTTTTTTGAGAATCCCTCAGGAACCCAAAATGTTTTCGCCATAAATATTATCCTTTATCTCAATTCAGGTAATAAACTATGTGTGCCAAATTTTATCTAAATTTGTTCAGCCATTTTACGATTTCATCAAGTCCTGTATTAAAATACTCTGCAGTAAAATTTAGTATCCCTTTTCACCCCTTAACGGGTAAAGTTTCAAAGAACCCTGATCCATGTTATAATTTTTTTCAGGTTTTGAGTTATTCGAAATGCGCGTTAAAATCCATCCATATAAAAACTTGGGCACTCTCTAATCCCCCCTTTAACTTAGTACTTTAGGAAAACTAAAAATGGTAATCTTTATTTATTTAGATAAGAATTCGTACCAAATTTTAAGTCTATTAACTCAAAGAACAAGATTTTTCTAACAAACTTTCATCCCATTTGTTTCGAAAAACTATGATACACGTTATTCTTTATTTCTGATCTTTAGCAAATATAACAACTTTCGAGTTACTCGAAATGCGCATTTAAATTCATCCATATAAAACTATGACAACCTCCTAATACCCTTTAAGGAATAGTTTCTACTTATATATATTTAGATCAATTGAATTATCTCCAGACAACTCTGTAAGTAAAAAATACTAAAGTTATAATTTTATTGACAACTAGTGGCCCGCCCTCGCTTCGCTTCGGTGTAGACTACAGTTTTTGTTCTCAGGCGTGTGTTGAACACATTGAATTTATTTATTTAATTCTTTTTCTATGATTCTTTTTTTATTGAATAGGTAATAATGTTAACTTTTTTAAATAAGAGATGAGTGAGAGTATTATAAACGTAAGAATAAACAAATATAATCAGAATGCTCCGAACTGCTAAGCTATCAGGAGTTACACGTATTATTGTGAGTAAACCATAAAAGATAGACATATGCTGTTGCAGGATATTTTTTAGACAATTTTATGTAGAATATTTCCGTGATACATGATTTCTATGTAACTTTAACCATTAAGGCTAAAGTTACATAGAAATCATGCGCGCGACGGAAGCTTAGAAAATGGAGTAACTTCTCCCGTTTTCCCAACATTTCCCTTCACTACTCTGCTGCTATTGATTGTAGCGTGATGAAAAGTATACTATAACCTGCCCAGGAGTATGAAGAATAATTGTACCAAGTTTCGTTAAAATCCGTCGAGTAGTTTTTGTTTCTATAAGGAACATACAC